CACCCTCTAGTGCCCAGAAGGTCTACTCTCTGGAGCTGCTCAGTCCCTGAAGCAATGTCGGGGGTCGCAGGGGAGTGGTACTGGTGCCTGGGATGAGGAAAGAGCTGTTTCCTGCTTTCTGGCTGCTATGCCTGCCTCCACTGCCTGAACCAGTGGGCCAGGCACACAGGTACAAGCCTCTATGCTTTCTGTTTGTAGTTGTTGTAGATGAGGCTTCCCTCTGGATGGCCTAACGCCAGGGTAGGGTTTGCTGGTTTGTGAGCCAGGTGGGGCTGGCTGGGAGAAAGGCACAGTAGGCTGCATATCATGGAGGGGGTTGTTTGAGCTGTGTATCTAGCCAGGGAGCTGGAGTGCCTGAAGGTTGAGAAAGTTCCTAACCTGCTGGGCAGAGTGCACCTGGACAATTTTGTCTACCTGTCCTTTCTCCTGAGCAGTAAGCTCTGTGCAGTCCTTGCCCCTTTAGCAGCCCTCTTGCTGTTAGGAAGTCTCACAGACTGCCCGCCTTTCTTTTGTCCCAGAGCAGCCGGATATGGATCCCTGTTTTCTACAAGTGGCTGGAATCTCATTCTCTCCAGGTATTCTGTCTGTCTTAGCTTTCCAACCCCCTAATCACAAGAATACCATGAAAGCACCATGAAATGTAGGTTTGTGCTCCCAGAGCAGATCTCCGGAGCTAGGTATTCAGCAGTCCCAAGCCTTCCACTCCCTCCCTGCTCTGTTTCTCTTCCTCCCGCTCTTGAGCTGGGGTGGGGAAGGGCTTGGGTCCCGCTGGGCCATGGCTTTGGTACGTTACTCTGTTCCGTGAGGGTTATTCTTTCCTCCAGGTGTATGCAGTTTGGCGCAGCCCTCTTTCCTGTTGCTCTTGCAGGATTAGTCGAATTATATTTTCGTATTATATTCAGTTTTAGGAGGAATCCTCTGTCTCACCTCTCACACCGCCATCTTTAATCTTCTCTCTTCACTCCCTTACCTCTTGCATATTTCTCTGCCGCTCCACCAGCATGGTTACAACTTTTATTTTGAATTCTTTTTCAGGAAGATTGGTTATATCTGTCTCACCAGGCCCTTAACTGATGTGTCACCATTCTTTGAGGGTAACCACTATCTTGAAGAAGAAGAGGATAAATAAATCCCTTGTGTTGGGTTTATTTAGCAGAATTAGCTGGAGGACTGATAATAAAGGAAAGGAGACACAGTGTCTCACCAGAGATAAGCATCTTGAGACCACAAGTCTAGCCTATGCCCAACACTCCTCTCTGCCCTTTGCCCCATTATTGAAAGCTGTGAAAGACAGAATCCTCAAATTTTCCATGCTTCTCCTCTCTGAGGATACCCGCACTTTCTTTAAGTGCATACTTTCAAATAAAGCTTTCTTACTGCTCAAATTATTGCATTTTGTCTCTTTGCTATTTCATTTTATCTCCAAGTCTTCACTTTGTCTAAGTAAGAAGGAGCTGCTAAGAGCTCAGATTTGGGCCTGCATGTTTCTGTTTCCTGGGTGACCCAGATGGAAATGCAGCTGTATGGTCTGCTCTTAGTAGCCTGCCTGAAAATCTTCTTTCTTCAGGAAGTTCTCAAAACATAATCTCACTCCATCCTGTGCTCTGTGGCTCCCCCAAATCCTGGGATGGTAGGGTCTATTCCCCATGCTGTGCAGATCCAAGCAGACACAGGATGCTAGGTGACTCTGGCTTCAGGAGTTGGCAAGGGAATCTTCCCTAGGCCAAGAACTTTCCCTCTTTCCCTCTGGACTTTCCTGTTCTCTACTGCCTACAAGGCAGCTGCCATTCCCTGTGGCTCTTGGTTTAATAAATTCTTCTTTACCTACACTTGTCCGACCTGTTCGAGACTTCTTTCTCATCCAGAGTCAAGACCCTTCCCCCATCCAGGTTGAGGTTTCTCCTAGTGCTTCACCTTGTGCACAGGGAGAGGCTTCCCCAGACATGGCTGCCCAGCCACACCAGGGCCCACCCACCCCTTTCATGTTGTGGCAGAGGCAGCCACTGTCCCTACATGTGCCATCTAGTAAATGGTTATCAGAAACACCAGGCGAGCCCACTCCCACTGATCATTTACCCACACCTCTGAGGCTCATCTCCTTACTCATGTCAGAGCACAAAACAAGAAACACATTAACATGTCTAAGTTAAATAACAACATAGGACATACAAAAGAGGCGGGACAGACTGCCGCTGTCTACCACAAGTCCTGCCTGCGGGCAGGAGAACAGCCCCAGCTCTCCCTTGCACAGGGGCTTCTCTCTGTCAGATGTCTCCACCTGCCTCTGCCGCCACCAGTCTCTGTGCATTTGCTTGTTGGTGTAACACAGACTGGTGAGTCTGCCTGCTGACCCATCTCTGCACCCTTCCTCTCTGGGCACCCAGCCCTGAGGACATGAGGAGAGATGAAGCCTGGCCTGCAGGGAGCTCTCTGTGGGTGGGACACATGACCCCAAGCTCTGCCTGGGTGGTGCAGAGGCTGCGAGAACAGAGGAGCCCTCACTAGGCAGAGGCAGGGTGGAGTTCCTCTAAAGAGACACAGATGGGGAGGCTGGAGCTGGGAGGGTGGAGCCAGGGGTCTCCTCGGAGTGTGTGGGGGCTGAGTGAGGCAGCGAGAATGCCGCAGGCAGAGGGATGCCCCGGTAGCCCACTCCCTCAGCTCCCCCGGGGAGGGGAACTCGGTGCCAGCAAAGATGTGGCTGTGAGGGGAGGCTGGGTCTGCCCGTACAGATGTGGTCAACTCAAAATTCAGGGCAAGGCGATTGCTTCTTCCTGCTGCTTTGAGATGGTCTGTCCCAGAGCTGCACCCTCTGAGTGCCTCGTGTTTTCTCTTCAAAGTTAGAGACCAGCCAGCCACAGCTCGCCCTCCCAGCCTGCACCAAGCCCCCAGCAGCCCTGGCTCTGGACAGCCGCTATGTTTGGCTAAACCCACAAAGGCACCTGGCCACGTCTTGGGCTGCTAATCTCCTGAAAAGCTGTCACTCCTGCAAACACGCATTAAGTGCCCACTGTGTGCAGTCACTTGGCTGAACACTAGGGACATTAACATGAGCAAGGTGAGGTCCTGAGTGGGGGTCATGGAGAGGTTTAGGAGGTGCTGGGAACCCTGCCCCTCCCCATGAGCAGACCAAGGCTCAGTGACTGGCTTCATGGGTGGGGAGCATTTGAACTGGGTTTCAGAAAGTGAGGAAGGTCCCTGCACAGAAGCCTGGCTTGGAAAAAGCGTGGTGGGGTTCAGGTGGCTGGAATCTAAGGTGCATGTAGAGGGGCTGGGGTGTGGGAGGCTGGGCAGGATCTCTGCCTTTCATGACAGGCTTGGAAATCACCACCCATGAGCAGCAGGAGCTACGCTGGGATGGGAGAGGGAGGCTGGGCTGGTAGGGGTGCCGGGCCCGGCAGGTTTGAGAGAAATAGAACTTCAGTGGCAACGAGGAGGGCGGATCAGTTGGGGGAGGCCGGGGTAGGGTAGGAGGGGCCAGGAGTTCCTCTAAAGAGACACAGATGGGGAGGCTGGAGCTGGGAGGCCTGCTCTTGGCCTCCTCCCAGGCTGTACCCCTTTGTGGGTGGGCCGGTCTGCACTTGGGAGGTTGATTCTGTCTGTAGGACAAAGGCCCCAAGTAAATATCTCCAGCACAAACCCCTGTGAGCTTTCTCCTCAGCAGCCACCTGCCCATGTGACATCCTGCTCAGTCACCCCACACCTCTGGCTGTCAGCCCAGACCGACCTCCTAGCTTCTTCATGCTCCACCCACTGCGCCCTCTGCCCCATCTCTGTTCATGGCAATCTGTCCCCTCCAGTAGCTCAAGCCAGAATGGGAGGAATCTGTGGCTCCCTTTGGGGTCTGAAATGTCCCATACCACCCATCCCCACATGCTATTGGTTCCCTTAGCACACAGCATCTGATGGTTTTCACCTCATGGCTGCCACCCTGGCCTGGGCCAGCCTCATCTGTCATCTGCACAGTGCAATGGCCTCACCACCTATTTCCTCTTCCACTCATGGCCTCCGTTCAATATGAACTCAGCAGTGGTGCCAAAGTGACGCATTAAGACCCCAGACACACCATCAGGCCAGAAGCACTTCTATAGCTTCCTGGTCTTCATGCTCTGACCTGACCATTTTACCTGACTGACCTCATCTCTTGCTGTTTGTCCCTTTGCCCACTGGGCCAGCCCCTTGGCCCTTCTCGTACTCCCTGACAGCCTGGCACCATCCTGTCATGGGTCCTTTGCACTGGCTGTTCCTTGTCTGGAATGCTCACCAACACGTCCCCTCTCCTGTTGCATTTTTCTCTCCATTATGGTATCACGTTATAATGTGTTAATACAGCTGACCTATTCTTGTCATCCCCCCACATTAGAAAGTGCATTCTGTAAGGGACTCTGTTTACTGTTGTGTTCAGCAGTGCAATGGCTGTGCATTATACATTAAATCACATTATATCATTTCTAAATTGAGAAAGGTCTTCAGAGATATTGATGGCCCAGGAGATCTGGGAAGGGAGGGAGAAAAGGGGATTGGATGGAATCTAGGCCTTGTTGGGCGAACTGAGGGGTGCTGTCCAGTGTGGTGGGGGCAGGGGAGCTGGGAAAGAGCAGGAGAGACCAGACAGCACTGCAGTGTACACAGGGGTCTCAGCTTCTCACCAATGGGCTACAGGGCGAACCCTGGGGAGTACAGGCCAGGGCTGGTTCTCGGGGACTTCCTGTGTGCCAGACCTGGTGGCACCCCGCCCACACAGCTCCGGCCCTGCCGGCCTCAGCCCACTCCGAGCACACACGCTGGTGCAGGAACAGCACTCAGGAGGGTGACAGCCACAGGCACACTGCAGATTCCTGCTAGGCCTCCGTCCTCCTGACTGGGGAGGCCCCAGATGCAGCCCTGGCCACCCCTAGATCATGGTGGAGTGGGCTTTTCCTTAGAAAAGGGAGTCCTGGTAGGTCAGCCCGCTCTGGGGAAGCATGCAATGAGGTGAAGAGGCGGCGGTCTGGTGGCCTTACCTCCACGTATAGGAGTGGGAAGATCCCAATCTTGTCCCCCAGCATCCCCTCCGCCCAGTTGTCATCCACTCTTCTGATCACGGTCAGGACTTCATCCTGGGGTTGCCCAGCCCGCCGCAGACACACACACGTGGACACACAAAAGAACAAGAGGCCTGTTAGTGCTGCTGAGGCTACGTGAAGATGATTCAAAGAGCAGTTTCCGGTCCATTCCAAGATCAGACACATGAGAACCGCTAGCCTGCCTCCTGCCCGGCTTCTCTCCTGTTCTTTTATGTGCTGATCAGAGCTGCAAAGAACCTCGACTGGGAAAGCAGGGGAACTTAGTAGTACATATGTTAAAATTTGTGCTCTTACTATTTGTTTATTTAATGAATTTATTTAATGAAACAAATAATTATGAATTAACAAAATTATGCTGAGTAAATCTAACTTCAGCTAGTTTAAAACTTTTCAAGTTTCTGGCTCCCTCAAAGAACAAAAAAATGATCCAACGATCCAATCTGACCCCATTTATTGAGTACTGTGGGTATGTAAAGGTTTGAGCAACCCTCTTGCCTTCTCCACCTCCCCCACAGCACCAAGTACAGACACACAAAGCGGACACAGACGGCAGGACAAGAGGCCGGACGCCTCCACAGGTGCTGTGAGCTGCGGACCCTAATGATGGGGGTGGTGGGGAGACTGAAAGGGATGCCAGGCAAGCGGGACTACGACAGGGGCGGGAGGCTGCAGCAAGGGTCACGAGGTGACATGGATGACAGCAAGCTGGTGGCGCACCCGGCTCCCTCTCCATTCACCAACCTTCCTCGGCACCCGCGGCAGACAGAGCAACCCCCGAGGGCTCCTGGCCACCCCGACTGCAGCCCACACATCACCTCTCTATTGTTTGTCCCTCAAGAATTTGTGAGGAGACCAGCTGGCCATCTGGGATACACTGTGCTGAGACACTGATGGCCAGGCAGCCTCACAGGCAACCCCAGCTGGGTGTGAATGCACCGTCTGCCTTCCCAACAAGCCCTTGACACTTTAGCATCAAGCAGGAATGTGGGACTTGTAGGGCCCTCTCAGTAGCAAAGGGACATTTCAGGCCAGTAGACTTCAGGAATTCTCAGAACTGAGGGACTGCACAGGTTTGGGGTGTTCATCTGGGTTGAGGCGGAATGATCTAATGGGAACTGGGTATGCCTTTTGGGACACAGAGAGGGAGAGCCAAGGATGAGTGTGTAGGGAGTACCCCAAAGTGTTCTCCAAACTTCTGTCTCCCAGGAGCACAGGGAAGGGTTAAGGACAGTCACATCCCTGATTCACCCTGTCCTCAGCCCCAATTTCCCAGCTTTAAGAAATACAAAAATTATAAAATGATTTATGACCTTAGCATGTTTTTTTCCCCAATTGATGTAAGCCATAAAAATGTGAAGGACACTGTAAGGGAACCATTCCATTTTGCCATCCAAGGTAGTTGGCTCAAGCTACAGAAGGACATTGATGAGGACTTCCTTCTAGCAGATGCTCAGCACCTTTGCCGACAGCCTTGAGGGCCCATGTGACCACCTGGCTTGGGGAGAGGTGCACAGAGGAAGCCCCTTGACTCCCACACCCTGTTCACCTCACAGGTTAACAACCAGGTGAGCCCTGAGGCCACCGGGAACTCAAGTCAGGTTCAGCTGAAGGAAGGCCCCTAAGACTGCTGATCATGCAAAAGGAAAGGGAATTAAAGGCTTCCTACAAATCAGAGTTTTTTCCAACATCAAAAACAAACAAACAAAAAAGACATTCAATTTTATAATATTAAAAAAGAAGAAAATACCAGATAATTTGGTTTAAAAAAAAAGAAAATACCATAATATTCATACTATTATTTAAGACTGGTCTAGAAATTAGAGCCAAGAAGAATAAAAGAAAATAAAACATGAACTATAAATACTGGGAAGAAGAGTATACAATTTTCTCCCTAGAAAAACAGAGTATCAACTAAAAATTAGAGTAAGTAAATTGACATGGGCTGTTAATTTTAAAACAAATGCATAAAAATCACTGGGTTTCTATTCTACCAGCAATAATCAGTTAGAAAGTGTGATTAAAATTGGCTAACCACTAAAAAATAGTTCTCTAATTCACTGTGCATGTTAAAATAAATTCCATAATGGTTAAAAATGTAAATGTTACAAAAAAGAATTTGAATGTCCAAAAGAAAATATGAACAGATGCTTAATCTTGAGCTATCATATTTTGAAATGATAACAAAGATTTGGCTACAGAAAGATGAAATTCTAAACTGAAAGATGAAAGCCTAAAAACAGCAAAAACAAAACAAAAAGACAAACTAGAAAAATTTTTGCAGAATATTTTAGAGACAAAGACTTACTATTCTACTATATAAATACTTAAAGTCACAATATGAAAAGAAGACAAATACTTTATGAAAAAAATCAGCCAAAGGCAAACAGGCAACTCAGATGAAGAAAAAAAAAATTGCCATTGAACACATTTAAAAATGTTATGCCTGACTAATAATTTTAAAAATATAATTTTAAACAAAAGATTCCTTTTTCTTTGTTCTTTTATGCCTATCGAATTAGCAAAGATGAACATAAAGCCAACTCAGTGTTGGTCAGCATGCAGGGAATAGGCATTTTATCAATTTTGATATGAATATAAATTCATGGCAGGCAGGTTGGCAATTTCTATTAAAACTCAAAGCCTACATACCCACTGATTTCACAAAAACACTTCTAGAGACTCTATCCTAAGCAACTAAGAGATGTGTGAAAAGATTGAACTCTGAGGACCTTTATTACAGTGTGTGTTCAGCTAAAGAAAAACTAGAGACAAATGGACAGCAATAAGGGTTGGTTAAGTGAATATGGTGTTGTCCACCCAACACCCTACCCAAGCCCAGACCACCTAGCAATCCTACCTGAGGAGCAGGGGGATGGAGATGCATGGGTGGACCTCACTATCTGGAGGTACAGCCCCTTAGAGGATGGAGACCGCATAAAAGGATCATATGACTGTAGAAGTATTCCCTCTCCCCAAGCCTCACCACCACATCACTAAAGACCTGTTCACAGCAGTTCTTTTCACCTGGAGCATTATGTTTGGATGTCAGAAAAAATTACTAGACATTAGAAAATGCAAGGCAGAGCAAGCATCAGAACCAGACTCAGATATGGCAGGAATGTTGGAAATGAGATGGGAAATTTAAAACAACTCTTATTAGTATGCTAAGGGCTCTAATGAGTAAAGCAGACAGCATGCAAGAACTGATGGGCAATGCAAGCAGAGAGATGGAAAGTCTACATACATGAGAACCAAGAAGTAATGCTAGAGATCAAACACACTGCAACAGAAACAGAGCATGTCTTTGGTGGACTTACTAGTAGACAGAACATGGCTGACAAAAGAATCACTGAGCTAAAGGATATCACAATAGAAACCTCCAAAACTGCAAAGCAAAGAGAGCAAAGACTGAGACAGAACAAAAGAAAAGAGAACAGAATATCCAAGGACTGTGGGACAACTACAAAAGGTGTAACATATGCATAATGGGAATATCAGAAGGAGAAGAAAGAAAGGCACAGAAGAAATATTTGACACAATAATGACTGAGAATTTCCCCAAATTAATGTCGGATAGATACCAAACAACAGAATCAGGAATTTCAGAGAACACCAAGTAAGAAAAGGCCAAAAAAAAAAACCACCCCAAAATAATCCCTCCAAAAAACCCCTACACCTATGCATATCATTTTCAAACTATAGAAAATCAAAGATAAAGAAAAAATACTGAAAGATGCCAGAGAGGGCAAAAAATACTATACATATAGAGAAGCAAAGATAAGAATTACACCTGACTGCTCAGAAATCATGCAAGAAGGAAGAAAGTGGACTGAGATATTTAAAAGACTGAGAAAAAACAAAAAACAAAAAAATCCACCAACCTAGAATTCAGTACTCTGAAAAATTATTCTTCAATTAGCGATGGAGAAATAAAGACTTTCTAAGACAAATATGGAGAGAATTTGTTGCCAGTAAACCTGCCTTACAAGAAATGTTGAAAGAAGTTCTTTAAACTGAAGGAAAGTTACATAGGTCAAAAACTTGAATCTATAAAAAGGAAGAACATTGGAAAAGGATTAAGTTAAGATAAAATAAAAGATTTTTTCTTATTCTTAATTGGTCTAACAGGTAATGGTTCAAAATGATGTTCATGTGCATATCATATACATATGTGTATATATGTGTAATCTTATGTGTGCTGATATATAAGTGGCGTTAATGACAGCAATGATACAAGGACAGGAGGGAGGAGTTAGGATTGTTTTATTATTATAAGGTATTTTCACTACCTAAGAAATAGTGCAGTGTTATTTAAAAGTGAACTTGTAATTGTTGTATATTGCAAACTCTAGGGCAAACATTAAAATTTCTTTTTCAAGGTATACAACTGGTATGCTAAGAGGGAGAGAAATGAAATGCTATAAATTGCTCAATTAAAAATGCAAAAGGCAAAAAAGAATGAGAGATCAAAATAGGGGCCAAAATAAAGGGCAATAGATAACAGAAACAAATATGGTAAATATTAATCTAATAATATCAGTAATCACTTTGAATGTCAATGGTCTAAATGCACAAATTGGAAGTCAGAGATTCCGGTAGTGGATCAAAAAACAAGACCCAATTGTATGTCACTATAAGAAGCCCACTGTAAATATAAAAATCCCTATAGATGAAAAGTAAATGGATGAAGAAAGATATATTGTGCTGCTAACACTAGTCAAAAGAAAGTGAGAGTACCTACATTAATTACAGACAGAGCAGAATTCAGAGCAACGAACACCATCAGGGATAAAGAGGGGGGATAACATAATGATAAAGGAGTCAACTGTCCAAGAAGACATAACAATCCTCAATGTGTCTGTGCCTAACAGCAGAGAGTCAAAACACATGAGGCAAGACTTGTAGAACTGCAAGGAGAAATAGATGGATCCGTTATTATAGTTGGAGATTTCAAAACCCCTGTATCAGAAAAATGGGCAGATCCAGCAGAGAGAAAATCAGCAAGGACACAGTTGAAGGCAACACCAGCCATCA